CCATCCACTTACTATCTATAAACAGTTTGTGTCTGGCCCCTTAATTCTGTCTAGCCAGCCATCCCGCACCCAACCACTGATTGGTAAGGCCACCAACTCATTGGCTTTTAATCAGAAACCGGCGAGAGTGGCTGGCTGTTCACTATTAACTGATCATATGTGACCTGTTTGCACTTCCAGCCCAATTATAAATGAGTGATGGCCTCCTGTAAAACCCCACAAAAGGACATTCCATAGGGTACAATAATTATGAAGCGACTCTACTATTTTACAAGCTGACTACAACCTTGTAACCTTGAAAATCAATTGCAGAAGTCAACCCACTTTTACATCGCAACTTGACTGAATCTTACAATTAGACATCACCCTTCCCATTAAGAACCAGTATTTATTTATTCATAGCCTACCTTTCTTACTGAGACTTAACGTAGATTATATTGTACAATCAAATAGTCTTTATGACAAAATAACTTTAAAAGTACCCTAGGTAGATGCTCTGGACAGACAAACAGATCAATTAGAAGCCATAACTGGAATGCCAGAATGACTGATGCAGGCTGACAAGTAGAAGATGAATCAAGGTGTCAAAAGACTCCTTCACAAAATGAATGAGAGCAACATGCATAAATTGTTCATAAGTCAAAGTAATGCAGTGATTACAAGATTACAGAGCTGAATCTTTAGTGATTACAAGTTTGTTTCATTTGAAATTGGAGAAATAGAAACTGTTCATAAAATGCTCTCCTATGTAAATAATTGAATCATTTGGTAATTTCTTTTGGATAGTTTCATTCTAGAAACAGGCCTCTAGCTAATTTCTTACTATGAAGGTGGCAAATGGGGTAACAATTTGCTAAAAAAATGGGGCACAGTTCATGCCAAGACAAAGAAACATTTAGGAGCAAGCCCAGAGAAATTTGTCTCTTCAAGCTACAAATATAAGAGTGCACATGATAGCCTTAATGGTGTACCTTGACCTTCATAGCTTTTTTTCCTTTGTGACAAAAACGAGCCAAGCTGGTACACACCATCCTTTGAACTATGCAGCTATACCGGTAAAATTAGGGGATAAGTATGGAGATACTCTGTGGGACTTCCTTTTCTTTGCATTCACTCCTTTCTGGCTTTGCTTATGCTTTCTCCAGTTCTCTGCATGAATCTTTACTTCTTAGTATATGGTTATACATTAATATCCTGAGGTTTCATAAAGTGCACATATTTTCTATCAGGATATACTGCCAGAAAAATTAAGTTTCTAATGCTGCTTTATCCCTGGTAGGGCTGCAGTGGATCTACATTATTAACAATGATTCTGGAACAATATAGAAACAACCATTGTATGGGACTGGGGGGTAATGGGTTTTAAAAAACATCAGTGGGAACACTAGTGGGAGATTAGAGGAACTAATAAGTGTGAGGAAAGGATTAGTTATGGTATGTTATCCATACTGGGTATGTTAACTCATCCATAAGACATATTTGCTAAACGCTTTGTTCTAAATTTCCTAAGGATATTGAATGCTGGGCTTTCTAGGATGTATTGTAACATTCAGAGAGGAAGCAGCAGCCAGCTAGGTTCCTTTTCTCGTTTAAAATCTCCAGGAAACTTGTACCAATGGCCAGAGACCTCCATACTGTTAATCACTGCTAACAAGTTCAGCCCAGTGTACCAATGGCCAGAGACCTCCATACTGTCTCTATATAACCTTTCTGCTAATCACTGCTAACAAGTTCAGCCCAAACTTAACTGGATGGCTGCGATCACACACAATAAACAATTAACTTTCAATGCACTTCCAAATTGGATTTTGCCAGTTCACACAATAAAAATCCAGTTCAAAAGTGGATTGAAAGTGGATTATTTAGTCTTTGTGATCACAGCCGATATTTGGTTTTATGGCAACTCTGTAAGAGGAATGGGTTATTTTAGAATTGGACATACATATGTTTGCTCCAATTATTCTTTTCTTTGATGGATACAGACTTAGCATAAGGATGTCAATGAGTTAGGTCCAACAAAACGTGAATGTAAGGACACTTGCAATATATATCACTGTCTCTCCTGTTGTCTTTCCCAAGCAACCCCTCAAGATCTCCAGAACAATGATGCTGGAGATTGTGGACATACGGACAAAATGCCACATGGTCCAGGGGGGCTTGTAGTGAGGGGCACTGTGCCATTTCCCTTTCTGTCAGCAGTGCTTCCACTGGCACAAGTTCTATTGCCACATGAGTGCTGCTCATTCAGTGTCTCAGTGCAACCCAACAAAGGCTGAACTTTTTTTGCCCATGCTAGTCCCACTTCATCCAGCAATGCATCTGCTTTTTGGAATTCTTTTGGAGGTCCTGTTGGGAACTCAATGAGAGGAATAATTGGATCATCCACCACCCATCTGATGGCAAACATCAGATAACTTCAGGCTATCCCACATTAAAGGTAAAGGTAAAGGTTCTCTTGCTCGAAAGCCAGTCGACTCCAACTCTAGGGTTGCGGTGCTCATCTCCGTTTCAAAGCCGAAGAGCCAGCGCTGTCCGAAGACGTTTCCGTGGTCATGTGGCCGGCATGACTAAACACCAAGGCGCACGGAACGCTGTTACCTTCCCACCAAAGTGGTACCTAATTATCTACTTGCAATTTCTTGCTTTCGAACTGCTAGGTTGGCAGGAGCTGGAACTAGAGACGGGAGCTCACTCCGGCTTGCGGCACCCGGGTCCCAAACTGCTGAACTGCTGACCTTCCACAGCCTGCAGTTCAGCGTCTTAACCATTTAACCATATTAACAATGAACAAAAAACATTTTGTTTTGCAATTTTTGTTTCATTACACTAACAAAGTGTTCTCTCTGAATCAGGCTGTCTGAACTGAATAATTTGTCAACAAGGTTTTATAGCATAATTTCAACTAAAATGAATGCTTATAATGATTGTATTTGGTTTTATAGCTTTATAAGGATGACAAATATTTATATCATTTCTGAATATTGTAAAGTAATAGGTGACAACAACATCACTTTTCATTATCTTAATGAAACAGTACAATTCGTTTCCTGTTTCTAAGAAACGGGCCACCTTAAACTGTTTTCTTGGCCACTCTTAGAATTCTGTCACCAGATGAACAGAAGTCAAAATTTAAGTAGATATAATTGCTCCTTGCTGAATGGAAGAATATAGGGTTCCGCTTAAATTCTTGCACAGGTCTCAACTTTTTTTGGTAAACAGTAGCCATATACACAATAATTATATTTTTGGGAAGTTTAATTATGCAAAAGTAATAAAATACTAAAAAATACTTAAGCTTGTGAACACAGCATGATAGGAAAACAGAACAAAAAGTGAAAGGTTACCACACAACATAGCTTTGACAAAACTGATGGGCAAGGCTTGCTGTACAGTTTTGATCAGAAATATTACATAATTGTTTCCATTAAAATATCAAAATCGTTCTTAAATGATAAACATTGATTACGGTAAAGGAAGTGTTGAAAATTCAACCAACATACTAGCTGAAAATACGTAAAAAAGTTTGCATTCGCATCTCTGAGGTTTAGAAAACAGTATTCTAGCAATACTACAATCTTAATATACAGTGGCACTTCTATACATTGGAGATGCGCGGTCTAGTTGTATAACATTGACTGATGTATAAGAGTTGTGGTAGAAGACATTGGACACAATTCATCAACCAAACCAAATTAGAGAGTAGGACGTGGAAGTAGAGGCTGACATGTTATACCCAATTGCACTCTCTCAGGAACTTCTCCATCACAGGTTACAGAGAAATGAATGGAAGCCACAGAAGAAAATGGTAACATCCAGTATTTTCAATTAAGGTTACTCAGAAATTCTACTTAACTCTGCCTGTAATTCCAAATCCATATGTGGAAATACCCACTGCACATACAAGAAACTGCTACAAAGTGCAACGTTCTCCTTATCTAGCAAGAGAGCTGACGTGTGGAAGGAAAGGTTGGGGGGAACCCTATAATCTACATGCAGCAAGTTGTGCGAACACTGTTATATTAATAAATCCACTCACTTTCTCCTCTGTTGGAGATGATGAATACTGTCCCGGCAGACCTCTCTCTGATCTATTCAGTGGGATACCGTAGAAGGGAGTATCCACATTACTACTGGATATGTAAATACGTGTAAACTCATATATCCAATGAATAAGTATATAATGACTGTTGCTAATGTACACAATATCCCAAATGCACAGATGCAGCAAAGTAACTATTGCTTTTTAATTATTAATGCAGGGTGGGGAAATATATTTAGTGGCAATTTAGTGGCTCAGAGTGATAGGACTGACCAAGTTTTCTTTACAGAAATTCCTACACCTTCAGAAAAATGGCTTGAACTAAACCATGACATCTCCAAACTGTACCCTGAATCCTATTCAAATCTACTAAAAAAGCCCCAGAATAAAAACATCAATATAATGGAAAACTCAGTCCTCTAGAGTTCTGAGATGTTACCACTGTGAATCTAAAAACAAAACAGCTTGGAAGCCAATGAGGTTTTTTGTTTTTAAACAAGCTTCTTTTTTTAAGGGTTAATTTTTAATTCAGTTCTGAAAAACAAATTCAGTGCCATGTTTTAGACAAATAATTACACGTTCAAACATACTACTATTTATAGAAAAGTGTGTTTGTGTTGATATTGCATTATTATTTGTCAGGGAAGTCGAGATTAAACATTACAAAGACAAAAAATCACTATGGTTGGCTAATTGTGCAGACTTTTAAAAATATATAATCATTTTTCATACATCAACTCATTTAGTTCTTTCTATTTCTTTACTATACAGATTTCATTACAATAACTTGTTCAATTTATTAATTAAAATCCAATCAATATCAAATAGTATTCTGGTCATTTTGTTTCAATTGCACTGTTATGAAAACATAATTTTAACTACCCATCCTTAACATATACTTAAAAAAAAATTACAATCCCATAATACATTGTTTTCTACATAAAGCCCTTTCAAGATCTGATAGGGATATATAAGGAAAAACAGAGCAACATTGCATAATTTTACCTGAACACTTACATTTGTTATACCAGAACATAATCTGTATGATCTGTCTGATGATAGTTCACAGAAAGCTTTGCAGTGCAAAACAAACAATATTTAGAGTATAACTGGTAAATCTGAACAATATCAATAGGATTTTATTGCTTGATATGTCAGAGGTTATGGAACATACCTCTATGCCCCAATATAGCTGGAGACAATGCATGTGGAAGAAAATTAGTGTATGCATATCACTAACTGAATGGGGAACCAAAAATGCAATTAGATCCACTAGCTAGTGATGTCCTTGTAAAGCGCTTTTTGTACAGTAAAAATCCCAGTTTACTGCTATTTGACAGGGAGATGGACTTTTCCCCTTGCTGGCCTCTACCTATCCATGTAATGGGGGGGGGAGGCTATGTACGTACAGCCCCTCCTTCTCCATTCCTCCTCTTTTTCAGTTGGAGCCTAAATGTAGTGCTTGAAAGCTGGACTGCTTGCCCATGAATGGTTTGCCACCATTAGCTCAGTACTGAAGATATTGAATTACTCAATGTTTTCAATGTTTTTCTCCATAAATACTTTGTTGTTTTGTGTGTGTATAAACATATGACCAACTTTGTAAAAAAAAGTACAAGTGAAACCATACAAATCCCTGAACTAGTGACATTTTACCTTGGAAGCACTTGTAAGAATCAACCACATTCTTCTCTCACACAGGTCTGTTTCTTCTTCTTCTCAAAAAATAAACACACACAAAAAACCAAACACAAAACCAGGGTATGATTCACTGGAAATTTCTCTTTGAAAGAACACATCTCAAAAGATTATAGATTCATACTTTCCCTCTGATTGCATTTTGTGGTTTCAAGTTTGAACATTACACTCTATTAACATAACCATAGTTTTAGTTACTTCATCATTCTTAATTAAGCTATGCAGGAAAAAAGTAACGCCCATATGCTACTTTCCAGTTACATTAACATAAAGTATTAACACAGTGCATTATGCTATTCAGTTTCACTACTGAGGTCTAGTATTTAATCAAGTTTACCATAAACTGTCTGCTCTCTTTATTTTTTAAAATCCCATTTCCCCTACCTTAATTAAATTCATGTAACATAACCCCCAAATCAGGACTATATTTTTTTAATTGGTTTTATTTTGATCACAGGACATTTCTATAAAACTGGAATTGAATTGTTTGGTCCCATAAGTTTTGTTATCCTTTGACCATTTCCATTTAGAGGTTTCTATAATTGCTGTTTTTGCCTTTAGTACAACGGATGAAATGTCAGAAGAAGAAAATAAGGAGTTAAGCAGCTCTGCTCCCACACTGCCATGGTAATGCTAACTGGACCACCCATTTTTTTTAAAGTATTCTTTCTTTGGACCCTGAAACAATAAGGGAGACAAATATCACATCATTTGGTATATTTGGGAATAACACTTTAAAAAGTGGTTTTGTGCACCTGTATTCTGGAATTCCAGTTTGCTAGCCATCAAGCATGCAAATGACAGCTATTTGCTTTCTTCTGAGTCCTTCAAATCAGCAAGGATTTTTTTGAAAATATTTTACATTTGGCAGATTTGTGCACTGTATGTAGGCTATGGGTTTATAAATTGTCTCCAGGCTGATACTGTGGTTCTGTAGCTGTAAAATAGTCTTCTAAGAAAGACTGAATATATTCAAATGTTGGTCTTTCATCAGGATCTTTCTTCCAACACAGTTTCATCAACTCATGAAGTGATTCTGGGCATCCTTGAGGACAAGGCATTCTGTAGCCACGTTCCACTTGTTCTAGAACTTCCCGATTCACCATACCTAAAATTACAAAAAACACATATCCAATAACTTGCAAGAGCTTTTTGTTCTAGGATTAAGGATACCTATGAGAAATATATCTAAAAAGAATGTCTGTGTAAAGTTTGCTCACTTCTTAAATATGTGCCAAAGTGCTGAGTATGTCAACAACATCTGATATTCTGAAACATAAAAACTAGAAAAACAGGAAGAACTATGTACTGATTTCAATGGCTTTGAGTGCTGCTTCCCACTGTGCTCTCTTGAAAGCAGCTCCTGGAGGTCAGAGGCACCTTCAGACATGGGGTATGACAGGGAAATCAGCAAAACGCACTCTCTTCTGTTGTATTAATGGAAGTATCCTTCAGCTTGAGGAAGAGGGATTTTGCTTCCAAGCTCAAGACACCAGCTCAGAAAGTATACTGCATGGGAAATTAACTCCCCATTCATCATCACTAGCCATTGATGACTAGTACAAAGGACTATCCAGCTGAGTGCAAAATGTGTGGAAGCCTTATATCTTGACAGACTCACAGAAGAATATTCAGTTCAGTTCAGTTTGTTTCAATAGAAAATCAGCCTAAAACCTTGCTGCATACAATACTAGGAACAGCAAATAAATTTAAAGGTGTCATTACAGTCCAGCCTTGTTTAAATACTTTACAGTCCAGCCTTGTTTAAATACTTAACCATCTGCTTATGTATGCTGCATGCTCTGATACAAAATTCTGTGACCTTGCAAGTTATTTCTGAATAAAGACTGGAGAGAAGCAGGGAGATGTAAAATTGCTCTGATCTTCCTGGAGTTTACAGAAGAATATATATATTTGTGCTATATAACCATGAGAAGTTATTCTGTAACATTATAAATAAAATGTATAATTTATAAGATTATTTCAATCCAATACTTGCCTCTAAATTAGTTCCTGAATGGCTCATTCTTTATTTAATTTCTTTTGTTTGGCAGAACAGAGAGTGAAGACCCTTACCTAGTTTACTTTGGCTCTAGATCTGAAAAAGAATTTTGACCTTCCTAACCATGTGAGCAACTTAGCCTGAAACAATATGTAACAGGAATTTAAATTATACAATATATTCCTTTTTGTTCATGGTGTCTCTGAGATTAGTCAAAGATACAATTTTCCATGAGAAATTTAAGAATGCCAAAATGGGCAAGACAAGAGACTTGCCTCCTTTTCTGTGTTGCATCTCCAGAATGAAGGTACCTGATGTCATTCAAACACAAGTAAAACAGGCTCACAACAATTCTGATTCCACTAGCTGCTAATCCCTGGCATCCCTGCCTTTGAAAACTGTTTGGAAACTTCAGTTAGTTCAAAATGCAGTGGCATGGTTATTGTCAGGGACTGGATATAAGGACCATATTGCACCTGTGCTGAAAGATCTACACTGGTTTCCCATCTGTTTCTAGACACAATTCAAAGTGCTGCTTCTTTAAGGCTGTAAATGGCGTGGGGCCAGAGTACCTTGAAGAACTGCCTTCACCCATATTGTCCAGCTCCAAGATTAAGATCCCCTTTTGAAGCCCTGGTCTCTATGTCGTCTCATCTTCTGAGGTAAGGCAGATAGCAACCAGGGACAAGGCTTTTTCAGTGGTGGCACCTCACCTTTGGAATGGCCTAGTGCATGAGGCTTGCTTTGCACCCACCTTGCTTTCATGTAGGCACCAGGCTAAAACATGTGTACCCAGACTTTTAACTAATGTTTTATGGTCTGCATCTATCCAAAGATCCTTTTATCTGCAACATTTTAGGCTGATCAATGTGTATTTTATACTATTATGGCTTGGTTTCTTTCAGTGGTTTTGCTTTATTGTTTTGGCTGTAAACTGCCTCAAACAAGTGTCCAGAGAGGCAGAATATAAATTTTCTAAATCAATCAATTGCTATTTAGTTAATCCTTTAAAACAGACCAGAAATCAGAGTCCATATTCATGTGCCTTTGATACCACCAACCAGCATGGTTGGGCTCTGAACAGGATCTTACTTGTGTGCTTCATTGCATGCATGCAAAGATACTGATTTTCTCTTCTGAGGGCGGCACCTCAAATCCTATGGGCTACAAAGGGTCTATGACAGGCCATTTCTATCAACTGAAGGGACCCACACAGCCTCCTATGATTTTGGGGGAACCAGGTTTATCTTAAACTATAAACCTTCCCCTCAGTTACCAGGTGTTACAAAGGTAGTGATTGTATACGATTTGTGTTCATTGCTGTGAAGTAAATTTTGTGGTGCACAAGAAAAATATGGAGGTCAGCACGAAGAAATATTATTTATTTATTGACTAGTTTCCATGAACATATCAGTAGCATAGGATTCCAAGTAGACAAAATTTAGCTGAGGCACATTAATTTAGAGAGTAGTTTCAATTTTCTTTACTACTTTCAAGCATAAAAAGGCTTTTACCAATTAGATACTAAATTGGATCCTAACACACACACAGGATTCCACCCACACCAGCCTACCCTTCCCCAAAAGTCAGACTAAAAGGTACAAGGTCTGTGCACTGCCAGAGACAGGCCTAATAATTGGTACTGTATTCTCTATCAGAAGTAGAGCCAAACCACTCAGCCACACTACCAAGCAGAGGTACCCTTCACTCTGTCTGCTCTTTCCCTGATCCACACCTGAGCTCTCACTGCTCTCTCCCTCAGGCAGAGTGGAATTGAACTCCTGCTGTGTTTCCCCCCTAGCATTCCATCCCCCTTCTCAAAGATGACTGGATTCTGGAGTAGCAATGCCATAGGCTCAAGTGAGTGGCTGTTTTCCCCTTGAGGGGCAAGACAGCCTTCTGTCCATCACAGAGTCCACCAATTTTTGGGCTGGACTCACCTTTAGAAGTAGCAATAGAAAAGGAGGGGAGCTGGAAAGCCCCCAGTGTACAAGCAGCCCTTTGGATTCTAGCCAATATTAGTCTGACTGCTTTACCAAAAGCAATCTTTGGCATTTTTAGTTCAAGTGATACTCTTTCACTTATGAAAATCAAGGCCCAATATAATCTAGATTTGAAACCAACTATTTAAAAATGGTTGCCTTGCAACTGTAGGAATTTAGTCCTAACTTTTTTTTTAAAAAAGTTCAGTAATAATACATGTGTACATAGCATGTATACTGATAATATTATATAAAGATAACCAATTATAGCAGCACAATTATGAAAGCATGTTACTTTATGTTTTTACCTGGGTATGGCACACGACCCTTTGTTACGAGCTCTGTTAACAATATTCCAAATGACCAAACATCAGATTTAATTGTAAACCGACCATACAGTGCAGCCTCAGGTGCTGTCCATTTAATTGGGAATTTGGCTCCTAAAAAGGAGATGAGACACAAGAGAAATCTTTTAAAATATCACATATTCACTTTTAAAAATTGTGTCATAAGAATGATTCTTTCTCTCGTATAGGAAATGAGGCTTTTAAGACCTCCTTCCCACCGGTGTTAATATCTTGTTTATATTAACGTAAGAAGTAATCTGCTGTCTTGGTTAGAGATTAATTTGTTTTGACAAAGATATATAAGATGCATAATCTTTTGCTATCCACTACCTACATCTAAACAATAATGTCAACAGAGTTTGCTGTGACCACCTGTGAAATTGTTTGAGCATATTTTCTAACATTAATCTATACTGCTAATGTGTTTTTAGGTCAACAAAAGTGTCTTTTCCCATTAATGGCCAAATAAATGTTTGTTAGTTTTAAGACTATATATACAAGGTTGGATCCAATGCTTCCATGGATGAAACCAGTTCATCAGCTCCCTTCCCCTGCTGAGCACTGCGAGAACCTCTTTAACAATATGCCATGTTGTGAAAGAGGCTGTAGCAAGAAGGATGACTCAGGAATTGTACTCCCTCACTCTTGCACAGATAGAGCCGGAGTTCACAGAACTCAGTTGGATTGCACAAGAGGGAGAGAGGACAACTCCTACTGATTCCCCGTTCACATTGAAGCCTCTTGTGCCACATGGCATATTGTTCAGGAAGGTCTCCTAACTAGGGATGGGCATGAACCAGCTCACAAACTAAAGTTTGTGATGGAATTAGCCGGTTGGTGGTTTGCAAAGTGAAGTTTGTGGCAGGTCAGCCATTACAAACTTTCCATGAACTTTCAAACTGTTCATGCTGGTTTGTGACTGGATACTTTTCCAGACAGGCTTCATCAAAATGTTTACCAAACTTCAAACCAACAGGGGAGGGGAATTCTCCAACCTTGAAAACATTCTGGTCAGTTTCAAACTAGTCATGTCAGTTTCAAGAGGTCCCCCCCCCACTGCCTTCCTGTGTTCCCTTCCCATTTTCTTGCACAGACCTTGCAAAAGACCCGCCTTGATTGAATTGTTGTGACTCTGTGCTTTGAGAGCAGTCCTTTTAAGCTTGCAATGCCAGTGGAACTGGGTTCTGCTGGGCATTGTACAAACTGTTAACTTCAGGGATTCTCTGGTTTGACATCAGTCCTCCTTTTGCTTGCATTGCCACAGTGGCACTGGGTTCTGCTGGGCACCATTGCATTGCACTGATACTCCTGGGCTTGCAACCCCCCCCCCCCCACTTGGAGTGTGATTCTATGTTTCACATCAATCCTGCTGAGCCGGCACTGCCACAGTGACAGTGGGTTCTACTGGGCACCACTATGTTGCACGGGTTCTATTGGGCTCTGCTGGGCACTAGTACATTGCACCGATTCTGCTGGGCTTGCAACTCCCCCCACACACTATGATTCTGTGCTTCACATGTGTCCTGTTGAACTGGCATTGCCACAATGGCACTGGGTTCTGCCTACTAGAGGGATGTACTAAAAGTATTGACAGGATTGCCCACTGGAAACAATGGGAGAGGCCTGAAGGCCTATTGGAGATAATTTCTTTTATTCCAGTCCCAGAACAGTTTATCTGAGCCAAGAGACATTAATTGAAAATCCACTCTGCATTTTCATTGCAACTATTTTGTGCTGTAATGTATGTCAGTGGAGCCCATGCAAGACAACTAGCATTCCTGGCTACCATTATCTCTAATGGGCCTTCAGACCTCTCCCATTGATTTCAATGGACAATCATATTATTCCTTTTAGTACATTCCTCTGCTATACACAAGTACACTGGACTGGTTTTGCTGGGCTTGCAAACATGCCCCCCCTTCAGTTTCTACTGCAGAGCTTTTCAGGCTTGACCTTAGTCCTGTTGGGTTTGCACTGCCACAGTGGTACCAGTTCTGGTGGGCACATTGTACTGCTTCTGCTGGGCTTGCAAAAATGCTCCCCAGCTTCTGTTTCTACTGAGAGATTATCTGGTTTGACCTTAAGTCCATTGGAGACAATGGAGGATGGGGCACCTTCTCTGTGGAACCGTAACTCAAACCCCATAATCCAATCATCACCAATCTTGGAGGACAGGTAGAGGAGAGAAAGTCAAAGATCCCCTGTGGGTCTGGTGTCTCTAGCATGCGGGGGGAGGGGGCATTCTACAATGTCACAAAGCTCACACTTAGCCCCTAGAAGTTCATTAGAGTTCGTAGTTTGCAAATGAACTGCATTCTCTTGGTTCATGCCCATCCCTACTCCTGACTCTCAGCACCAGTTTTCTGGATGAATGTGGGGTAAGGGTGAGCAAATAAAAACCACTTCAGTGAATTTGCCCCACAGTGAATTTGACACACTGGGGCCAAAAATCCTAACTATAAATACACGCTGATAGGGTCCAAACTGGGAGTGATTGACCTAGAGAGATATCTTGGAGTCGTAGCAGATAACTCACTGAAAATGTCAAGACAGTGTGTGACTGCAATAAAAAAGGCCAATGCTATGCTGGGGATTATTAGGAAGGGAACTGAAAACAAATTAGACAGTATCATAATGCCCCTGTATCAATCGATGGTGCGACCTAATTTGGAATACTGTGTGCAATTCTGGTCATTGCACTTCAGAAAGGATATGATAGCATTGGAAAAAGTGCAGAAAAGGGCAACCAGAATGATAAAAGGGTTGGAACACTTTCCCTATGAAGAAAGGTTAAAGTGCTTAGGGCTCTTTAGCTTGGAGAAACGATGATTGAGGGGTGACATGATATAGGTTTATAAGATTATGCATGGAATAGAGCAGGTAGAGAAAGAAGTACTTTTTCCCCTTTCTCACAATACAAGAACTCATGGGCACTCAATGAAATTGCTGAGCAGTCGGTTTAGAACGGATAAAAGGAAGTACTTCTTCACCCAAAGAGTGATTCACACATGGAATTCACTGCCACAGGAGGTGGTGGTGGCTACAAGCATGGATGGCTTCAAGAGGGAATTAGATAAACATATGGAGCAGAGGTCCATCAGTGGCTATTAGCTACAAGGTATAGATAGGAACTCTCAGTCTGGGGCAAGTGATGCTCTGTATTCTTGGTGTTGGAGGGGGGGGCAACAGTAGGAGGGCTTCTAGTGTCCTGGTCCTACTGGTGGACCTCCTGATGGCAGCTGGTATTTTTGCCACTGTGTGACGGAGTGTTGGACTGGATGGGCCACTGGCCTGATCCAACATTGGCCTCTTATGTTCTTAACTGACCTCATAAAGGAACCTTCAAATGACTTATTTAGGAACAATTTCATTTTTGAAAGGATAAAGATTTACCCTTATTGTTAGGTGATGTCTTAGGAAAAAACAACAAAGAATTTCTGAAACAATTAATGATTTAGGTGATTCAGTTCATACATAAATTATATACAGTCTGATGGGATCTGGATAAAAGCAGCTCCAAGCTCTAACACCAAGAACACAAAGTTGAAAATACAAGACTTGTAAAGAGCTTGCAGGGGCTCCATTTAAAAGTCTCAGAAATCTGATTTTCAGAGCAGTACTGAGGCTCTGAATATTGACTCTTTAAAGACCCATCACATATGTCATTTAAGTCCCAAATTCTGCTGAAGAAATGAACTCTTTTATAGAATGATTTTCAGTTTCTATTGCTTAGAACTGTAGTGAATTAAATAATGAATGTTAACACATATCCTTTTAAATGAATTAAAATATCAGAGATAAACTGATATTTCTTTATGTTGATGAAGAATTCTGATGTGATACTAAATATTAAAGTTCTGTTAGCTACTACAATAAATATATCAGACTTACCCTGTCTGGCAGTATACTCATTGTCCTCTATTAACCTTGCTAAACCAAAGTCTGCAATTTTGCATACAAGGTTGTCCCCCACAAGGATGTTAGCTGCTCGAAGGTCCCTATGGATGTAATTCATTCTTTCAATGTAGGCCATGCCATCTGCAATCTTATTTTTTAGAAAAAGAAAGTATATTACCAAAACAAAGCTCAGTTCACCAAACAGTTAAGTAACGAACAGTGCCATCTTAAGCAGATTCACATCCTTCAATGGATTTAGAAGGGGGTAACTGTTTAGGACTGCTTTGGTTCTGTTGGTGAGCTACATGTCACACTTTGAAAACAAAAAACTGATACTAGATGTTTCAGTCTTTAGATTTAATCGTATATATTCTGCTCAAACATAGGCAGCAGTCACTATTTTGCAAGCAAGTTAAAAAAATCGATAGAAGATGAAAAACTATACAGTAGTTAGGTGGTATTAACCATTTCCAGCATTGTATAGCAGGACTGTTTTCACTAAGTACCTGAGCAGCCATGTCCACCAATTGTGGAAGCTTTAAGTATTTCCCTTCTCCTTCTTTAAGGAAGTCTAGTAAGCTACCTGCAGAAAGACATCAATGCCATGATTTAGATTTCGCTAGAAAGATTTAATATCAAATAACATTGTATTAAGACAAATATAATATAGAGGACTGCACATAGAAATGTTCTTTCCGCTTCAGTATCTCTTGCAACAATACTATTCCTCTCAAAAACAAAATAATATTCCTTTAATTTATATTCAGAAACAAGTTAACACAATTTTGCATGGATCTCCTCCAAAATAACTTGTACAGCTGCTGCCATAAGCACATTCAAAAACAAAATTCCAGTAGAATCAATATGAAAGATGTAGACAAAGCGATATAATTCTATTCACTCTTTTTTTTTAATAATTTGCAACAGCTACAATTTAACAGTTGGAGATAAGGCTTCAAAAAAGAAAGATTCTACAGCTTTATCATTTGGTTGGGAATGTAGTATTGCACTGATACAGGTGAAGCAGGCTATTAAAATATAAGATTACTAGACTATGTACAAAAGTAGTTATTACATTGTTAATAAGCAGTGAAAATAAAGGGATTTACAACGGTCCCAATTGCCACTATATGTCTAAATGCATAAGCTTTCAAGTTCTTTTTCATACACACTGTCTCAAGCTTAGAAGAAGAAGAGATTGGATTTATACCCCACTCTTCACTACCCAAGGGAGTCTCAGAGCGGCTGACAATCTCCTTTCCCTTCCCCTCCCCACAACAGACACCCTGTGAAGTAGGTGGGGCTCTCTGACAGAAACTGCTCTTTTTCAAGAACAGCTGTGCCAGAACTATGGCTTGCCCAAGGTCATCCAGCCAGGTGCAAGTGGAGGAGTGGGGAATCAAACCTGGTTCTCCCAGATTAGATTCTACGCACTTAACCACTACACCAAACTGGCTCTTACACTTACACACACATTCAGTTCAGAGTTAATGTTAAACCATGGTGGTGGTATGTGCAGCCCAGAGCAAGCTGTGGCTCATGCATATCTTCTCTCCTGTTCTTCCCATGGATCATGATTTGCAGTTTTCTTGGATGGCAAGCACAACCTGTAAGTTGCCAGTTCAGATTTAACTGAAAACTACCATTTGTCTCCAAATAGAAAGGGTGGGGTGAAATCATAGCATGTCAAGGGACAGGAGAGCACACAAACCCGAGGCACATTCCAGGTTCCTTCATATAACACCAAGCATTGGTTCTCATTCCAAACAGCATTATTACTTAATAGGTATTTTATGTAGACATAGTATTTCTTTAGGAGATTTTTATGCGGCCTCTCCTGAGTCCACTACTGCAGAAATTTATTTATTTGTGGGATTTCTATCCTGCCCTCCCCCACAAGTGGGCTCAGGGCGGGTTACAGTAAGACAACAAAACAGATAAAACAATTTCCATATAATTCCAGTTAAAAACTAAAACCCAGCTAATTTCTACACGATGGAGAGATTGGTAATTCAACAAACCCTGGAGATACATTGTATGTACATCCAGGGAGGGCCAGCGCATTAGAAATGGCCCCAACCCCCACTTATGGTACAGGTTGACTAGCACACAACATAGGCAGGTTAGAGCAGGGGAGGCTGAAGTAATTGGACACCTGCTGCCTCAACCAAAGGCCTGGCAGAACAGCTCCATTTTGCAGGCCCTGCGGAATTCTAATAAATCCTGCAGGGCCCTGATCTCACTTGGGAGCATGTTCTGCCAGTCCGGAGCCTGAACTGAAAAGGCTCTGGCTCTGGTCAAGGCTAAGCGGATGTCTTTTGGGCTGGGGATTACCAGTAGACGTTGTTCTGCCGAGCGCAGAGCTCTTTAGGGAACATACTGGGAGAGACAGTCCCACAGATATGTTGGTCCCTGACTGCATAGGGCCTTAAAGGTTAATACCATAACCTTAAACTTGGTCCATTACTCAACTGGAAGCCAATGCAGCTGGCAGAACACTGGCTGTAGGTGCGCCTGCAGAGACATCCCAGACAGGTGGCGTGCTGCTGCATTTTGCACCAGCTGAAGTTTCTGGGGCAAATTTAAGGGCAGCCCTGCATAAAATGGGTTGCAGTAGTCCAGTCTGGAGGTAACCATTGCATGGATCACCGTTGCCAACAAGTGGGAGGAGAGATAGGGAACCAATAGCCTGTAATATAAAACCGCCAGATAGTTCCTGGACATTTTCTCTAACGAATTCCAAAAAGAATTTGTAAAACTGTGGCAAGACTGAAAAATGGAAGATGAGAGCCTTATCGGCAAATTATCTCCCACAAAAACTCACATAGGTACCTTCTAGAATCCATTCAGAGTTACACCCTTCTATACCCATTGATGTAAATAGATGCAGAGGGGCGTAAGTATAGTTAGAATTGCACTTGCATAATCTATACCTAAATTTGCTATCACAAACTAAGCAAACGTGACACAGAAAACATTAAACTTTTAACATATTTCTGATTTCCACACAATAAGGAAGCAGTACCTTTTGTCATGAATTCAGTGACTATGTAGATTGGCTCCTCAGATACAACTGCATAAAGTGGAACAAGTTTATCATGTCTTAATTTCTTCATGATCTGAGCTTCTTGTAGGAAAGCTTCTGGCATCATTGTACCAGGCTTTAGTGTTTTGATTGCTACTTTTGTGGTTCCATTCCATGTTCCTTGAGAAACATTGCATTACATTGTTAGCTACTGTATTTATTTACTTTTGTGGTTCCATTCCATGTGCCTTGAGAAACATTGCATTACATTGTTAGCTACTGTATTTATTTATTTATAGTCCTCCTTTCTCATAGACACTTAAGGTGGATTACAGAATATGAAACAGTCCAATCAAACAGCATAAGACAACCAATGAACAATGCAGTAGGTCTAGGAATACAGAATCAGAAAAAATATGAACAACAAACTATGTAAGGCAAGGTATATGATAAACAATATAGGAAGTTAATTATATTGTACCACCTAAATAAAACATATACCTATTGTCATGTAAAATGCTCCCCCCCTTTAAAATATGAAGTGTTATAACAATAAAGTTTCTATGTCATATGATCCTATGAATATTTGTGTATGTTGCCCAGAGTTGACCATTCTGACTGGCAGCAGGTCTCTCAGCCTCAAACAGATGTCCTTCCCAACCCTGCTCCTTTATTAACTGGAAACGCCAGGGGCAGATCCCAGGGTCTTATGCATGTAAGCATGTATTTGAATGTGAATTCTGATCCTTTCATTTGGGTACACTTACCCATCCATACTTCACCAAAGCATCCTTGCCCCAACTTGACTTCTAGCCGTAAGGATTCTCTAGGAATTTCCCAAGCATCTTTTGCTAAACCTTGCGTCTGAGGTTTCACAGTAGGACACACAGTTGTTAACTTATGACACAGGCCATCAGCATGCTCTGGTGATAGGGAAAGGGTGTTTTATTTTATTTTTACATATTCACAAATATTAAAACAAGCAGAAATTATCTACCCAACGTCTCTTACCAACTAAAAGTGTGTTTCATAATATTTTTTTAAAATACATATTTAGGAACAGATACATTCTGTTTTCATTTCCACAGCAATATATGAAACTATTTATTTATCAGATTTATACCTCAACTGGTGAAGCTTGTGATGGCTTACAACAAAGCAAAATACAATTCAATAGAAAATATTAAAAACAACAATAATAAATATATAATAAAATTTAAAACCAACTATATAGAACTCCTATATAAAACATAGCTGCATCCAACAACCCAACAGTAAAATGATCCAGTGGAAGCAAAAATGGCAAGACATGTGTGATGACTAACTGAAAGTCTGCTGGAAGAGCTGTGTCTTGCAAGCCCTGTGGAAGCTAATGTGGTCCTGCAGGGCATGTGTGTCCTCTGATAAAGCATCCCACCAAGACATGGCCAATATAGAGAAGGCCCTTGCTCTGGTAGGTGAGCCACTCAAGAGCAGATACTACCAAAAGATTGCATGATGAAGAGCGCAGGCACTGTGGGAGATTGTAGCAGGAGAGTAGGTCCTTCAGGTATGATGGTCCCAGACTGATTAGGGCTTTAAAGGTTAAGACCAGCACCTTGAATTTAATCCATAAATCAATTAGCAACCAGTACAGCTGCCTAAGTACTGGTTGTGTGTGTGTTGACCATAATCCACCAGTCAAAAGCCTAGCAGCTGCATTCTGGATAACCTGAAGCTTCTGGAGCATCTTCAAGGACAGCCCTGCATAGAGTAAATTGTGGCAGTCTAATCTGGAGGTGACAGTGCTATGAATCACTGTGGCCAGATCCAACCAAGACAGATAGGGGGCCAGCTGATGTGCCTGGCAAAGACCTCGCCACTGTGGACACCTGTTTGTCCAGAGAAAGTGAGGCAAAAAGCCATACACCCAAGCTCTTCACTGGTGACAGATGGGTCCCATTAACAGCCAGGGGCTGTAACCTCCACATAACATAATCCTTCCCAGCCACGACTTCCGTCTTTGATGGGTTCAGCTTCAACCAGCTCTCTCTCAACCATCTGAGCATTGCATTCAGACACGGGCTCAAGACTGATTGCTTATCCTGCAAAAGGAAGAGTTGGGTGTCATCAGCATACTGATGGCACTCAACCCCAAACTTCCTCATGAGCTCCACTAGAGGGTGCATGCATATATATATATATATATATATACACACACATATACACACACACACACACACACAACAACAACAACATTGGGGAGAAGATCCAACATACTGGAACACCACAGTCTAGTGCTTACATGGAAGACTTTTGTCCCCAATGACAACCCTCTGAGAGCATCCTTGGAGGAATGACGAAAACCACCTCAAGGCAGTACTCCTGTATACCCAGCAAGGCCACACGGTTGACCAGATGGTCAACTGTGTCAAATGCTGCCAACAGATCTAATAAAATCAGCAGCACATAACCACCTCGGTGCAACTGAAGCCAGAGGTCATCTACCAGAGCAGTAAGTGCTGTCTCAGTCCCAAAACCAGGCCTGAAGCTGAACTGGAAAGTGTCAGTTGCAAAGGTCTCATCTAGGAAAGCCTGGAGGTGCTCTGCCACTGCATGCTCAATTAACTTTCCCAAGAATGACAAATTTGATAAGGGGGGTTTAATTGGCTACAATTTAGGAACATAAGACTTACCTGTATAGTGTTTGACCAGCTTTTGCAATGATTCAAATTGTGCTCTAGTAGTTATGTAATATCCACCATTATCAAGTTTTCTGATTTTGTAGTGTTTCACATTATCGCCTCTAACCTCATCCCAGTCACGTATAGAGAGGGAATAAGCACCTAAAAAAAAGGCACAGTTTAAAGTTTTGCTTCTGCCAACATATTCTCAATGACTCTTGTATTGTGATGTAAAAAAACAGACACACATACCTTTTGTGGTTTCACTTTCTCGAACTAAGAAAATACCACGTTGATTCCCAGGATTCAAAAGTAATCTTTCTGCATCTTTCCTGCCCATCTTACCAAAATACCATCTAGAATATTCAAATAAAAAAATTCTGTTGCTATATGATAGTCAGCACAAATACAGTTTATTACAAGGTAAAGGTTTCCCTTGTTCGAAAGCCAGTCGAATCCGACTCTAGGGTTGCGGTGCTCATCTCTGTTAAAAAGTCAAAGAGCCAGCGCTGTCCGAAGATGTTTCCGTGGTCATGTGGCCGGCATGACTAAACACCAAGGCGCACGGAACACTGTTACCTTCCCACCAAAGTGGTACTTATTTATCTACTTGCAATTTCTTGCTTTCAAACTGCTAGGTTGGCAGGAGCTGGAACTAGAGACGGGAGCTCACTCCGTCATGCGGCACACTCGGGTCTCTAACTGCTGAACTACCGACCTTCCACAGCCTGCAGTTCAGCATCTTAACCACTTGAGCCACCGCAGCTCCTCAGTTTATTACAAAGGCAGATCTAAATACGCTACTGTGCCTAAAAAGAGATCTGATAGAGCTTTCCCTGTGGCAGCACCCTTTCATGTAAAACTCAGTTCCACTAGATTAAATAAACCTGGAACCAATACTATTTTAGTGCAGGCCAGTTTGTTCCATATAGATTATAATTTAAAGAAAATGCAACTTGCTTTGTGGGCCCACAGGCACTGTAGTCTTGTTTCCCTGAACACCAGGCCCATACCACATTGAAAACTACTTTTAAAACTCAAGGGGGTGTCAAGACCAGTTGTTGCATGGCTTTGGAGATCAACTGCTTGAAGAAAACAAGCAGTCCTCTTGTATAAGACGACGCTATCTGGATTGCAGGCTCAGGTCGCTGCTCCCCTACATATTTTTCCTTTAAAAATTCTTTAACATGGTTTAATTATAGGTTTATTGTAGTAGTATAATTTATTCAGTTTATAACCAGCACAAATCTCTGTATCAAAACCACAGTAATATTATAGATGCCACTATATACAGAATTTTAAGGATTCAATTATTTTGTCTATAACATTTTTGTTTAAAATCCACAATTCTAAAAGCACTCAAATAAGATCTAAAATTATTTACAGCATAACTGAATAAAATATATCCTCACAAGTTCACATAACCTCTAATTTACTTCTGGACTTTATCTGTGCAAATGTTACGAGCTACAGCTAAAAATTTAGCACAATTCAATATGAACTGGTTTATTGTATTTTTAAAGTAAAACATGCTATGTACTATTTCCTGCCATATAGTTATGGCAAAAATGCTGTGTGTCAATGGCCTTACCAATCCTAGTCTTTGCCACAAGCATGACCATTCCTTGTTGAGGAACTCTTTCACTTTTAGCATTAACTCAGCTAGGTACACTGGTGGCAGAAGTGGGCCCGGGAGGAGAATACAGGCACATATGAGTGCAGGTGTCATTTTTGTTGCAATCTTCTAAACATGTGCCTAGAAGGGTCTACAAGCATGATCAGGAGCCATTCCAGATGCTGGTTTATAAAATCACTCAGACAGTCACTACAAACCGGTAAGCATGGATAGTATTTGCTACTACTGAATAGGGTCACAAATAACCTAAAGATATTCTACAACCAGATGCCCATAAAGAATTCACTCAACAGTGATGAGTGTTCCTGGCACACCAAAAGTACAGAGACATCACTCTGCTGCACTTTGGAGAAGGTAAGAAACGTCATAAATCCTTTCAAAGCAGCACAAGGCTCCTAATGCTCCTCACCTTTCTTATTTATTAATTAAAATATTTATATGCCTACTGGAATTCTCCTGTTTCTTATTTTCTCAATAAACCAGCACAATAAGAGAACTCTCCCAAACCATCTCTGCCCAAAAATGGATTCAGGGGGAGAGGATGATGGCAATCACATGTAATGGCTAGTTAGTAAACAAAAAAAAACATTTGGGAGGACCCATGCTTTCAGAATTTCAAAAATGCAGCAATACAAAGATCTAGCCAGCTGGGTTGGATCCAGCCAGTTTCTTCACTCAATTTCAAGGCATTCCCTTCCTCACAACACCACCTATCCCACATGGCTTTTGCCTATTCGGGCCCTATGATCTCCTTCATATCCTTTTTGGTAGTCAAATGAGACCCCCTCCTCACTTTTTCACCACTAGAAAAGCTGACTAGAGTAAAAAAAATGGCTCACAGGAAAACACACTGCAAGATAAAGAATTGCTGGAGTATCCATGTCAAGGGGCTTGATATTCTGTAAGTCATCAATGATTGTTATTCAATATCACTCACAATAAATTAATGGAAAATTACTTTCATAATCTACAAGTACTAGTTCAGAACTATCCATGTGGAGATGTAGCTACAGATATACTCCATGATCAAGCTGCCCTTAAAACGAAGACAGAAGCTCAAAAGGTGCTGGTTAAATGTAATAAAAAGTTCCCAAGCAATGCCTACACTGCAGATTATTCTTCAATGTCAAGCACTTCCTCACAGCACTAAGGTACTGACATACACTTGAATGAGACACTTCCTTGTATGCTTACAAATATGCTGCTGCTAAGTGACCCTTAACAAATTAAATATTTACCCCAACTGAAAACTGACCCAGTAGATTCCAATGGATTTTATTTCCTTAAAATTTTGTGCAAAATAAGAACAAACCCAATGGAAAGCTGCTGCCAGCCACTCTGACTGAGCTGGGAGGAAAAACAAACTCAACATTCTGACAGTCTAAATCGCAAGCTGCTTCCTACTGTCCTAGCTGCTCCTCTCCAATGAATTTAGAATTCCTGCAGCCCATTCTGAAGTACAGACAGAGGCAGACGTAGCCTGCTTGCTAAGCTTCAACTTCAGGTGTGGTTCACACAATAGCTAACAGATGATGCCCCAATCATAAATTTTCAAATGACTGTAGCAGCAATCTGTTACATCAACTGTTAAAGGCAGGCACTTAGTAGTTGGGGATCTCCTCTCAAGGCCCTTCTTGCTTCCATGCTCCAGGGCAATGTGGAGGATATAAATATTGAAATTAGTAACATGATCAGTGCAGGAATCGAGAACACCTGACCTAAGCTATCTAGGAGAATATCCACCAAACACAGTGCTTGATGATCTTTGAACTACTGTTCTAGCCCAGAGCTTGCTTCATTGTAAGTACTTTAGTAGCATTAGCTCTGACCAGATGCCAGTGATGGTATATTGCATTCTGAAGCACTGAAGGGAACAGGAGTAACCATGCTGCCAGCTGTATAATCAGAATGCATGAAAAATCCTTTGCTCGAAAATATAGCATTAGAATCACCAGTATTCTTACACTTGGCCTTTTAGATCTAAAAGCAGTTCAAACGTATCAGTCAGCACTACTATACTTGGAATGTAAGAACAATGCAAGCCTCTGTTACCTCAAAATAGAACACTGAAAGACGGTGAAAATGAATGCTTTAGCTCTAGCCAATATCTGAAGACTATGACTAGCTGATAAGGGCTGCAGCAGCACATTTGGAATGAGTTTCTCCTAAATACCATGTAAAAATTTTCTATAAGCGAAATATATCACTGAAAATTTGTTTAAATATGATCAATATCCCTTAATAGTGTATGTGAATTCCATTTTTACCTTACAGACACCTAGACTGGTGTCAACTTATATCTGCCTAATTTTTTTCCTGCTTGTATCTATTGGAAAATTATGGGTAAAACTGCTGATGAAGAATGCAAGATGCCTTACTCTTCTGCTTGAATGGAATCTGCAGGAGCAACATAATTGCTTGGGATATAGCCGCTCTTTCCTGTTGCAATAGACCTTGCTTCCCACCAATCTCCTTCCCTGGAAAACAAGAACAGCTACATTGAATATAAGCAAATGTATTACAAAGGAATCATTCTGTAACCACTAAATAGGCATTTGTAAATGAATGTCACTACTCTCTTCAGCCATAGCAGGATACCATTTATATTGAGAAGAAAGAAAGTTAAGGATAACTAATATTTTGAAGTTATTCTAGCTCCCAATAAACATACAGGGCCCTATCCCAATCGCTGTTTGCATTGTTCCTATTCCACCCTGTATATAGCACTCCAACTACAGGGGCTTCCTGCCAATCCCTTCCCTTAGTGACAGCATCTCAATGGTAGAGAGTTACACTATTAAGAACAGAACCTAAGAAAAGACCTACTGGATGAGACCAGTGGTTGGACAAGGTCCAACATACTGTTTTGAACAACAACCACCCAGTTACCCTGTAGGGCCTACAACTGGAGTATGGAGGCCAAGGCCTTCCGCTAATGCTACATCTTAGCATCAGTATTCAGAAGTTTGCTGCCACTGTACATGGAGGTTCCATTTACTCACCACAGCTAGTAGCCTGTGGCATCCATGATTCTGTCTAACCCCCTTTTAAAGCCATCTATACTCATGATCATCACTCCATTGGTAGATAGTTTTACGGCTCAGTAAGAAGTATTTCCTTTTTTGTCTGTCCTGAACTTATTGCCCATCAACTTCACTGGGTACCCCCAATTTCTAGTATTATAGAAGAGGAAGAAAAAGCTCTCTGTATCCAATCTCTACCCCATGCATAATTTTATCAACCTCTATCACATTCCCCGTCCATTGTCTTTCCCCTAAACTAAGAAGTTGCAAACTCTTCAGTCTTTCCTCAAAGGACACATGTTCCATCCCCTTAATCACTTTGGTTGCCCTCTTCTGTACTTTTTCCAGCTCTGCCATATCCTTTTTAAGATATGGTGACCAGAACTGCACACAATATTCCAAATGAGGCTGCACCACAGATCTATACAGGGGCATTACAACACTGGCTGGTTTATTTTCTATTCCTTTCATAATATGGAGTTTGCCTTTTTCACTGCTGCCACACACTGAGTTGACATTTTCATTGAGCTATCAACTACAACCCCAAAATTTCTTTCCCTCTCAGTCTCAACCAGTTCAGACCTCATCAGTGTATATTTAATATCAGGAGTTTTTGTTCCAGTGCATCACCTTACACTTGCTAACAAAGAACTTCATATGCCGTGCTGTTTCCCACTCACCCAATTTAGAGAAATCCTCCTGGAACTTATCACAATCTGCCTTGGTCTTAACCATCCTGAATAATCTGGTGAACTTGGTCACTCTAATGCTTACCCAATTCTATTCCACTACTGAAAGAGCAGTGCACACATAATGCATACAGAAGAATCTAACTAGTTTAGTCCCATAGTTGGGCAAGAAGACTTACGTGTTGTTTATTATTTGGAACCGTTCACCCTTCTTGAATGAAAGGTCATCTGTTGTTCTGGCTTCATAATCATATAAGGCCACGAAAACAGTAACACCACCTTAGGAAAAGCAAAGATCTGACAATTATATTGAAATATTATCTTAAATATATCAGATATACAAATCAAATACACATGAAGTACAAAAAAAGGCAATTCATTCATTTCCTCTGAAACCAAGCTAAATGCTTTTTTCAGAATTGGTACAATCTAGTTTCTGAATCTAAACTAAAATTTCATCAGACCTAGTTTTTAGTTTTCTTCTTAAATAGGAGGAATTTTTATAAATATTTCCAAACTAAAATAGTCTGATTTTCTTCTCACTTTAAAGAATAAAATTTGGGCCAGTCACTACAGGAGTCTGCCACAGTGTGTAAGGGCTGTTTTTCAAACTAAACACAAGTTTCTATTATGGGTTGACGACATGACATGGCTGAAAACATAAGGTGAATATGTTCCTAACACACTTGAATTGTAAAGTGTCCTAGATGCATGCTTCCTGTGCGTGTCTGGATATTCCAACCCATTTCAGACATTACAACACACACACACCCCCAAATTAACACTTGAAAGGAACCATTCTTTGTGTGGCGTGAGCACATCAGTTAAAGACTGTTTGCTGCAACAGGGTTGTTCACATGTTATGCTTCAAAGACATGAGATCTAACTACTGAAATATGAACTGGGGGGTTCTGTCCCATTATCCTTAATGCTAATACTTTTTAATGTTTCAAGGTAACTACAAACAACAGCAGAAGTTTGGATGACTAATATTTATTTAAATAGTCACAAGTGCAGGGATAATATGATGCTATAACTCATATTGTCTTTGTCCAGATTGCATGACACATATCATGACTTTTTCCCCATTGTGATGTAGTGAGACTGCATCCTTCCACCCTGCCCATCAGGCATACTCGTCCAGTCTCTGAGTCTAACAGAAGTCCACGTTTGGGTGTGAAATTTAAACAGGCTGAATACATACATGTCTGAACAGTGCAAGCAATTTGGCAGATTTGGTCTGGGAAATTAATTCTGCTGCTCAGGTTTAGGCACTGGTTTATTCTCTGTGTATATATATATTTAACTCAAACCTTATCTGTATGCATGGTTTTCTGTTGGTATCAGTGGTAGGATAGATGAGCTAGTTTTTGAGGAGAGAGTGTAATTTTGTCCTCTACTGCAGGTGGGGGGGGGGGAATCTGGCAGAATGTCATCTGATTTTGGTCCTTTCACCAGATAATTACTCAAGTATTATGTCTGTACAAGCATATACTGTGTGTTACACCTGTCTAATGTTGTGTAACCCTAATATTTAGAAATAAAAATAAATACAATTTAATTTTGAACATATGCATCTGTTTCTATAGTGTCATAGAATGAACCCAATCTTTACCAGAAGAAACCTTCTTAGCTCAGTCTGGAAAGATAAAAACTCCTAATTCAGGGGTAGGTAAACCTGGCATGCAGTTGGCCATTTTGCTCATCAGACAGGGATGTTTCTACTCACAAGTGTGTTTAACTAAGTACAATCCTTGTTTCTCTCCCATCCACTATTTTGTTTGCTAACATGCCAATATCTTCAACTTCCATAAAGGTTGCAGCCAGATCGCCCTCACCCTTGTTCTAATACAAGAAGACACATTCAGTAGTCTTCTATTGTTCTGTGGCTCAGCACATTCGTCTACTATGCCAAAATGCTATATGCTTCCTTACATTCTTTACCAAGTTATACAAAATCCTATCCTTGAATTATATCCACTGGGCAGGACAGAATCACTTCTTAAACCTCCTTTCCAGCACACTGGAAAGAAATGACATTTGTTAGCAAAAGAATACTGCTAATGTAAGACACGGAGCTGCGGTGGCTCAAGTGGTTAAGACGCTGAACTGCAGGCTGTGGAAGGTCAGTAGTTCAGCAGTTAGAGATCCGGGTGCCGCATGATGGAGTGAGCTCCCATCTCTAGTTCCAGCTCCTGCCAACCTAGCAGTTCGAAAGCAAGAAATTGCAAGTAGATAAATAGGTACCACTTCAGTGGGAAGGTAACAGCGTTCCGTGCGCCTTGGTGTTTAGTCATGCCGGCCACATGACCACGGAAACGTCTTCGGACAGCGCTAGCTCTTTAGCTTTGAAACAGAGATGAGCACCGCAACCCTAGAGTCGGATTCGACTGGCTTTCGAGCAAGGGAACCTTTACCTTTACCTTTAATGTAAGACAGCTACATTCTGACAGCACAATACAGCATGCTAGTGGGAACTCTGAAGTTCTCTTTGCAATTTAGGTCCCATTTCCTACCAGATATTAGTAATTTCACTGTAGTGTGTGATAAGTTCTCTTGCAATTTATATTCCCTCTACCCCACCCCCCGCAGATATTAGTAATTTCACTGTAGTGTGAGCTGCTACATCCTATAAGAACCTTTAGTCAAGCCTGATCTCTCCTTATATATAATTGTGAAGAGGGGTGGCACCTTCTGAACATTCCATACGATCCTAAATCAGTTGGCTCCATGATGTGTCACTCAGAAGCTGTCCCTAACCACTGGCTGCGTTGCCTGAGTCTCGCCTCCAACATTCTAAACAGTTTGCTGTTCCTCCCCCCCCCCATAGCCAGTCGGAACACAGAAGTCATTTGCATATGTGGCCTGATTGGCCTTTGCCTCTAACATTCTATACAGTTTGCTGTTGGGAGTCACTGAATGTGTCCTGAGGTAAAATACATATCCCAATCTTCCCTTAAACGGTCACTGGAGTTGCCAATCTCCCTGTGGGGCCTGGAGATCTTCCAGAAATCACTGTGTTTCCCAGCCACAGCACATCATTTCCCCTACAGAAAATTTCCCAGCTATTACAACTGATCTCCAGATGACCAAGATCAGTTCTCCTGGAGACAATGGCTGCTTTGGGCAGTGGACTCTATGGCATTATACCCTGCTGAGGTCCCTTCCCACCCCAAACCCTGTCCTCCCCAGACTGTACCCCTCAAATCTACAGGTATTTCTCAACCCAGACTTGGCAACTGTGTAACTGGCTATGGAACCACTTTCCAGACCCTTGGAACCCAGAAGACATGGCATAGGAGGAGCTGCTTTTCTACCTTAGCTGCCACTGCATAGCCCCAAATTAACATAAGCCAACCCCCGAGTGGCAGCTGGAGATCTCCAGTTATTACAACTGATGTCCAGATGACCATGATCAGTTCTCCTGGAGACAATGGCTGCTTTGGCCAGTGGACTCTATGGCATTATATCCTGCTGAGGTCCTTCCCCACCCCTTCCCTCCCCAGGTTCTACCCCTCAAATCTCCACCTATTTCCCAATCCAGAGTTGGCAACCCTATAACTGGCTACGGAACTGCTTTCCAGACCCTTGGAACCCAGAAGACATGGCATAGGAGGAGGTGGTTTTCTACCTTATCTGCCACTACATAACCCCAAATCATACCAAGTCAGGGGTGGAAGGAACCATACCTGTTACCATGAGGCTGTCCTCCCATACTACCCACAGGGCAGCAAAATGACTTGAGACAGCCCTGTCTTATAGCTAACCAGAAGGAAATAATCAGGGCTTGCCTCCCTCTATTTTCCCCCTCCCTGTGCCGCCCCACCAGCCACAGCCCGGACACTCACCTGGCGCTTCTTTCTAGAGCTCATTGTATTCCTTCCCACAACGGGCCTTACTCCTAGTTTATTCATAATACACATTTTATACTGAGAGCAACTTCTGAAAACTAAGCAAATCTATCAACAAAATTAACAAAACCTTAATTTCGGAATGTTTAAAGTCTTAATGTGTCACTATTAATTATACAGAAATTTGTATTAGATTATCAGTATAACTACTGATCCCTCTTGGACACACACCTTAATATGATGAGGGGGGGGGTTTGTAAGTCCCAGTGAAGCTGAAAGAACTATCATAAGGAGTTTAGCCTCTTGAAAGAGTCAAGTCACTCAAGTGGAATGATCACAGCCAAGACACCACACTAACATGCATCTGTCCCTTCTGGGATCAACAGCCACATCAGCAGAAGGACAGTTTTAATGGTGATGGGGGTGGAGGAGTACTTGAAGGGTTACTTCCTGGCAGTAGCAGAAGGTGACACTGGCAGAGGATCTATCATAGACAACAGAAGTGCCCCTTCAGCTAACCCTGGTTAGTACTGTGCAGAAGGCAGAAGATGGTAAATCACTTCGGATCAGCTCATACATTGAAAAATCCTATGCTGAGAACACTGGTTGGATGGCAGTCAATAAGCTACTGGAGAAGAGCAGAGGACAGGTACAAGTAGCGCTATTCTTTTTTTTTTTTGCCCCCCAAAGGGGATTTTTTTTAATTTGTATTTCTAAAATAACTACATAACTATAACGAAAGATGGGGAAGGGAAAAACTACAGACTAAGGGAGACAGAGAAAAAGGCACTAAAAGCCCAAGTGTAGAAGGTTACATATGCTTATAGATACAAAGTTGTAACTCTTATCAATTAACTTCTGACATGAGGAGTTTCCTTGTTCATTGCTTCAAGTTAAAATCCAGCTTATCTGTCTAGACAGAGAATAGCTCCAAAGCTAATTAAGAAGTATAAAGACCTTAAAAGACATTGACATCTCCCACTGCGCTTCCCCTCCCTCCCCACAAACACGACGTTGTAGAGCATAGATTCACTCAATCGATACAGTCATCTCAATTTGTCCTCTTCCTTCTCTGTTGATTCTTCTTTCATAAACAGCTTTAGTGAAACAGGCTCTATCCAGTTAGTACCACTTTCCTTTTCCAGGGCTTTCACTCGCTTGTTATGGTACAAGAGTCCAATCGCTTTTTAATCTGCTTGCCACCATCCAATACATGCTATACACAGTCTCAATTTTGTCTATAAATCAAGGTTCGCTGCTTCTTATTCTAGACACTGTCCCTTTAAAAGACATGCCACATTTAGAGCCGTTCCTGTTGAATATCCCACTTTAGCCAGCAGATGGCTCCCGATTCTATGCTGTAGGAAGAGTCTATGGTTAGGTCACCTGACCTACCCCTCCGTTTTTCTTCTTCCTGGGAGAAGCTTGCGTCCCACCTCCCTCACTGTTTCCATCGCCATCTTGGAGGGTTGTTTACATTTACCGACTGAAGTTGCCAAAGTCTCAAAGGTCTGTAAACGCTTTTATTAGGAGATTTCTCTGATCTAGTCCTTCTACTGTAATCCATTGCCACTGTTAGCTCAGTCCCCCACCATCCCGCTTCGTTCATTCGCTTGAGAGGGTAGGCTGTTCCCTCCCTCTTCCCACTTTAGTTTGTGGGGGCTTCGCAACAGGGCTCCGATGTCTCGCTTTAACTTAAACTCACTCATCCGTCTTCAAAAACGATCCAGCAGGTCTCCCTGGGATCTCACTAGGCAGAATAAAATTGCCAAACCTTCATACGCTTGTCTCGGTGGTTGCTTCGAGTCCAATACTGGAAATCAGGGCAGGACCTTCGGGGCAGAGAGCAGCCCCCCTGTGCCGGCTGTTGGCCATAGGGCTCTCCAAAGCCCCCTGGTTAGGAGTCCATTGCCTATGGACTCCATGGGGGAGCGCGCATAATCGCGCTCCCTCCTAATCCCCGATTCATGGCACACGTCTCTCGGAGGAGCCGAGAGACGCAGCCATCATTGAGGCGCCAAAAACCGGAAGCCTCGAGTAGCGCTATTCTTAATGACACAAATGGATTAAAGCTAAAAGGACGTTCAGTTGTTTTTCTGAATGGATGCAAAAGGAAAGTCCAAAGCTGTTTGACAGATATACTAGCAGCATGGGGCATGACATGTATGAATCAAAGTAAGCTTGAAATTGCAAAATTAGAAACAGAATGTTTAAACATTGCAATCCTGGAAGCAAGTAAACTGAAGTGAACAGGCTCTGGATATTTTCAATCAGAAACTTACAAAGTGCTTTACTTGGAAAATGATGAACAGAAGAAACAGAGTTTGTCTAATAGTTTCAGGCAACCAAACAAAGACTGTTGCCATACAAGGAATGAAAAGTTCCTTGTTCAAGCTGGATGCAGAAAAGGAAGAGGGACTAGAGATCATATTGCAAATTTATCTTAGTTACTGGAGCATATGACAGAATTTCAAAAGACAATCAGTTTGTGTTTCATAGATTACAGCAAAGCTTTTGACCATGTGGATCACGAAAAGCCATGGTTGGTTTTACAAGAAATAGGTGAGTCATAACATCTGATTGTTTTGATGTTTTGACCTATACTATAACAATTTGAGATATGCATATGACACCACAATATTGGCATAAAATAGTGAAGAAATGACTACTGATGAAGGTTAAAGCAGAAAGTACCAGAGCAGAATTATAGAAGTAAAAGTTTTCTATCCTTTGGCTCCATCATCAACCAAAAGGGAGACCACTACCAAGAAATCAGAAGGAGATTGAGACTGGGAAGGGCAGCCATGAAGGAACTAGAAAAGATCCTTAAGTGTTAAGGATGTCACTGGCATCCAATAATTCATACTATCATATTCCCTGTTACTATGGATGGGTGTGAAAGTTGGACAGTGAAGAAAGTTGATTCATTTGAAATGTGGTGTTGGAGAAGTTTTACAGATACCATAGACTGCCAAAAAGATAAAGAAGTGGGTTGTAGATGAGATCAAGCCTGAACTCTCCCCTGGAGCTAAAATGACTAAACTGAGGCTATCATCCTTTGGTCATGTTATGAGAATACAAGAGTAACTTGCAAAGACAATAATGCTAAGAAAAATGGAAGGAGGCAAGAAAAGAGATGGATTGACTTAATGAAGGAAGCCACGGCCCTCATTTTGCAAGAACTGAGCAAGGCCATTAACAAAAGGTCATTTTGGAGGACATTAATTCATAGGGTCACCATTGGTGGAAGCAACTTGACGGCACTTCTCTCTCTCTCTCTCTCTCTCTCACTCTCTCTCTCTCTCTCTCACACACACACACACACACACACAGAGTTACAGCATCCAAACACACTGATTTTAAGTATCTCTGACATGGCATCTTATGCTTATAAATAATCCTATAAGAGCCCTGACCTGGATAGCCCAGGAAAGCCTGATCTTGTCAGATCTCAGAAGCTAAGCAGGGCCAACCCTGGCAAGTATTTGGGTGGGAGACCTCCGTAGCTAGTTACAGGGTTGCCAACTCTGGGTTGGGAAATACCTGTAGATCTGAGGGGTAGAGCCTGGGGAAGGCAGGGTTTTGGGTGCGGAGGGACCTCAGCAGAGTATAATTCCATAGAGTCCATTGCCCAAAGTAGCCATTCTCTCCAGGAGAACTGATCTTGGAGCTCTCCAGGTGCTGCCTGGAGGCTGGCAATACTAAGGGGAAGACCAGACCTATACATTTGAGGGGTAGAGCCTGGGGAGGGCAGGGTTTGGGATGCGGAGGGACTTCAGCAGGGTATAATGCCATAGAGTCCACTGCCCAAATTAGCCATTGTAATAGCTGGGAAGTTTTCTGTAGGGGAAATGATGTGCTGTGGCTGGGGAACACGGTGATTTCTGGGAGATCTCCAGGCCCCTCACGGAGATTCGCAACTCCGGTGACCGTTTAAGGGAAGATTGGGATATGTATTTTGGCAACTCCAGTGACTGTTTAAGGGAAAATTGGGATATGTATTTTACCTCAGGACACATTCAATGACTCCCAACAGCCACAACAAACTGTTTAGAATGTTAGAGGCAAAGGCCAATCAGGCCGCGTATGCAAATGACCTCTGTGTTCTGACTGGCTATTGGGGGGAGAGGAACAGCAAACTGTTTAGAATATTGGAGGCGAGACTCAGGCAACACAGCCAGTGGATAGGGACAACTTCTGAGTGACAGATCAGGGAGCTTACTGATTTGGGAGAGTGTGGAATGTTCAGGAGAGTCCATGACCAACGCAGAATTATTATATAGAGAGATTCAAACACACCAGTTTAAAACAACTGGCAATTAAATGATGACTACTGACTCATTTATTTCTCTTCATTTCTATATAAGTAATAAAGCTTGCACTACTTTTACTACCGTTAATAAAAATATTTTGTTATTTGAAAAGCAACATTAGATATTCTATTTTCAAAACATGCTCTCAATAATGTTTTCCCCTGTCAGTACAAAATATCAAGTACAAGGTTGTTAACTAATTAAGTACCATTTATATTTGAAATAAAGCTCACCTGTTAAAGGATATGGACATGGCACAGATGAAAACGAGGAAGATGCTCCTCCAAAAGGCGTCATACCAGATGGCCCACCAAAAGGAGTTACAGAATGGCTGTTAAAATTAACTGATGATCCCTTTACTGCAGGTGACTGGTTGACTTGAGTTGAATCTGATCCATAATGGCCGACGTGGGGGGCAGTGGGTTCTGGCGTATTCTCAGTTCTATATTTCATAGCAGGACTTTTATCTTCCTTACTTTTAATGCACCCCATGGTCTTTTCTGTAGAAAAAAGGCAGCTATCACTTTGAGTCAGTATTTAAATAAGGTATAATTTCTCCAGTCATTACACATGCATATGGAATAAACTGATAATCTAATTTTAATCAGATAAAACTAACTTTCAAACCTCCTTTCAAAGTCTTCTGCCTACTGAATTTTTTAAAAAATTTTTATTAAAAGAGGTCAAGTATACATAAACAAGATTGCTGTTTGAACAATAATACAAACTGTCAGTGCAGATACATATTTCACAATGCCACCTATTAATTTGTCAGCAGGAACATCTTATAACCAAATCCTTGTCACTTTCTTGTGATATTCCAATTGTTCTACTATTTCTACAATACTGACGTATAATAAATCCAGATATATTTTAGAAGGATCCCAATATTAACTTATGAGAGTGCTCAGACCATTCAAAAAATAAATAGATAAATAAATACAATTTCTCAAAGATGAATCCATTCTGCATAACTAGTATTTGCTGGTAATACATCGTTTTCTGTAAAATATGTTATAAGAGGACACCATTTTCGAATGAATCTGGAATGGGACCTTGCATACCCTTGTGTGTGGGACTCATATTTATCTGCTACTTTGTCCATCACAAAGTGGTCCCAACATTTATTTCTCCACTGCCTACTGAATTATAGTACGTGCATTCAACAGGTCAAATGCATCATAACTTTTAAAGAACAACAACAAAAAAATCCTTACAATTGAATTGGTAAAATCTTAATGGTCATTCACTATGGTTATTTCTAATTAATTCAAGGGACTTCCAAGCAGAAAGGTCTGTATCTATCCAGTAGTGGATATTGCAATTTAGTTTATTTATGGATACTGCTGTTGAACAGAAGTTAATGGGAAAACAACTCAATAGATTCCCAATCAAGCCTACTAATGAACTGAAGACAACATACTGGAAAAAAAAATACAGCACGGAACAAAATGAGTCAATTTTTAAATTTATAAGACATAAGTGCCATTTTAAAATATAGCATTCACAAGAGTTTAGTCTAGAGCAGCGGTTCTCAACCTGTGGGTCCTTTGGGGGCCGAACGACCCTTTCACAGGGGTCGCCTAAGACCATCTGAAAACACAAATTTTCAATGGTCTTAGGATAGGGCTCACTATGCTTTAGTTATGTTCAATTTTTAAAAAATGAAAATACATCCTGCATATCAGATATTTACATTACGATTCATAACAGTAGCAAAATTACAGTTATGAAGTAGCAACGAAAATAATTTTATGGTTGGGGGTCACCACAACATAAGGAACTGTATTAAAGGGTCGTGGCATTAGGAAGGTTCAGAACCACTAGTCTAGAGGATCACATTTACCTTTATTACCGTCTATAACATGATATGCTACACTGTATTTCTAGAGACTCTTTACAGGACAAATAAACCACTATTGGTACAGTCTATTACAGCAGTTAGCTATTGCATTTCACTTCTAAATGGTTGTAAACTGACACACACTGTTGTTGCTAAAAATGCGAAACTGAGAAGTTTGAGTCCAGAAGCACCTTTAAGACCAACAAAGTTTTATTTAAAGTATAAGCTTTTGTATGCACACACCCTTCTTCAGATACAATACAAATTTCATCAGGACACAGATGGGAGTTTGCTCATTTTCTAGACAACCCCTTGGAGACAGCATGGTGATGGGTTGAAAAGCAGGCAGGAGATCCATGGCCCACGTTTTCTATATAATGTAGTCTATCTTGCTAGGCTTTAGTCCCATTTCCATATCTATTATAGATTTTGCTGCTTGTTTTGGACTGAATTTGCTAAAGCTTTGAGAATTTAAGACCTGCACTGCAGAAACTCTATTCAGTAAGTGTATTTAGGAAGTTAGCTTTATTATTTTTGTGTGCTTGAACACTTCACTGAAACTATATATATTCACTGGAACTATATATATTCACTGGAACGATATTGTTGTAAAAATCTTTTTCTTTTGTATCTTTCTAACAAAGCTTATTTTGCCTTATGATGTGTTGCTGTGAGTTCATTGGTCAGAGTAAATTTGGCTACGTTATCAATAGAGAGGCTTGCACCAGTGTCTCATGTTCCAGACAGGGGAACAATTATCCCCAACCAAGGCGGGTCAACCTTGACAGTTGTTTGCATATTATAAACGTGAATATGCAAGGACTTCCAGTGAAAAACAGCAGCAGTCATTCACTTAACACTGGAGGAAAAAAGCCATTTCTCTGCCAGGCCGTTCTTAAAGGTAAACACTCCTTCTGCTTCCAAACAAAATATCAACACAAGATTCTTGCTTGTAGATATATTTATAGTCCACAATTCAAATAAAACAGTCAAAGATGTACCGGTTACACAAACTTTTTGGTAATCCTTTCTCAAGACTGGACTTATATTGAAGCCTAACCTACCTACAAACTCAATTTCCAGCGCTGAAGGCCAAAGCGCCTCACTGTAGAGATTGACACTGCATAACAACCCTGTGAGGTAGGTTAGGCTGTGACTAGTCTGACATCACCCACTCAGCTTCCACAGCAAGAACCTGGGTCTGGCAGACCCTGCTCTGAAGTACTAACTGCTACACAACACTGGCTGTCCTAGTTGAGAGCCAGTTTGGAGTAGTGGTTAAGAGCGTGGACTCTAATCAGGGAGAACCAGGTTTGATTCCCCACTTCTCCACATGCAGCTTCTGGTGTGACCTTGGGTCAGTCATAAGTTCTATCAGAGCTGTTCTCTCAAAAGCAGTTCTCAAGAGAGCTCTCTCAGCCCCACCTACCTCACAGGGTGTCTGTTGTGGGGAGGAGAAGGGAAAGCGATCGTAAGCCACTCTGAGACTCCTTCAGGTAGTGAAGGGCAGTGTAGAAATCCAATCTCTTCTTTTTCTTCTTCTTCTAGAGGGGCTGCTGGAGGTAAACAGGAGCATGCAGCCAGGGCTAGTTAAGTCATGCCAGTCAGGTGTCATCAAGTCACCCGGAGGGCGCTGATGGATTTGGGTCCCAGCTGGAGGGAGGAGGTAGAAGCCTTTAATGGTTGATTGGCCCAAGCAATAGGGGGTAGAGCATGTAAAAGATGTGAATGCCTATTTAAACCCTCTGAGCCTCAGTCCAAGGAAGAGATTTGGGTGGGGGGGAGGTTGCTGTTGTCATCATCATCAGAATTGGCATAGAGAAAGAGTTGGAAAAGACAAAAAGGAAGCACCCTAGCAGGAGAAGGATGATTGGGCTGAGGACAACTCCCTCCCCTTCATATCTGAGGTCTGAAGGACCTGTAGGCCCATACTCCACCTCCTGCTGGGTACCAGGAAGAGAATCCAACTGCTGGGCTTAGCTCCTCCCTTCTCCACTCCAGTACACTGCTTGGCTGTGCCAAGCCACCTGGTTGCCCTTCCCTGTGGTAGTCCAGCACAGCCCAAACATCTTCATGTGAAGTACACACACACACACACACACACACACACACAAAACCTTTATTGGCATGAAAGCACAAAACATCATGGAAATATGGGAAAATACTAAGATGCACCAGTCACTTACACTTGGCTATTCAAGCCTCGTCTTCTGATTGCATAATATAAAAGTTTTGCAACAGCCACCATTATTTCGCAATTAGAATTAAACAGAAGAAAGTGAACAATTGAGTCATCAGAGTGCCAGATCTTACCCTCTAGAAATGGAGTAATAAAACGAGATCAAATATCCCTATAGAGGGGGCAATGAAGTATGATGTGTGTAGTGGATTCTATATCTTTTAGAGAGCAAGGACAAAGTCTGTCTACATATGGTATCTGGTGGTACCTCCCTAAAAGCACCTCTGATGGCAGAACGACCATTGGTTACACACCGTGAAGGGTCCTTCTCCTCTGAGGCTTGGAGGACATCTTGTGGGTGATTCCCATCCATCACTTAGGGAGGCAGGACTAATTTCAATTACTTCCTGTTTCCTGTAGTGGGAGTCACCCTAGGCTCAGTTCTGGTGCTCCAAAAGCAATACACTAACTTAACCACTGTAAAAAAGAGAACTTGAACATCAACAACAAGAGTATAGCCAAATCACAAACATTGGAACAGGAAGAAAAAGTTGAGTCCTCTCTCTCTCATGTAATCTTATTATTATTTTTAAATAGAGTGTGAAAGAACAGCATAGTAGATAGAGGAAATGACGACCCAGGAGGGCCAAGTTTAAAATAATTAAAAAGAACCATTTAAGAGCCTCTTACTTAAACAAAATAATCATTTATAATCTCAGGAGATCCCTTACTTCACTGCGCTTTCAAAGCACTGCTTTCGGAGATGCTAACTGGTCACTATAAAAAAACTCTAGCAGACCAACGTATCTGTATATGCAGGCAGTCAGTGGAAGACCATTCTCACTATATCCTGTCCTTTATACGGAGAACCCAGGGCCAAAATTTTAGCAAAGATATTGACAGCCCTATACCCCCTGTCTGATTATGACAAGATAGCCTTTATGCTCTCAGATGAGGAGTCCTTCATCTTCGCAAGACTGGCTCGCTTTGCCTTGGCCGCTAGAAAGATTAGAGCAAAGAAATTAAACAGTACCATTGCAACCAAGTGAGAGATTTTAAAAGGTCTTATCAGTTTTAATTATTAGAGGCCAAGATAGTCTTAACAGGTAATTTATACGTTAGTAGAGGTTGAATTTTTTAATTATTATTTTTATATGTTAATGTATAAACTTTCTGAGACTGTTTTGATAATGTGAAGGCCTATGGCCACATACAATAAAATGATTCTAATCAATCATACAGGATAAAAAGAAAGACTGAAAATTTACGAAGTCATATTTTTCTGAATACAACAAATTGTCCTAAACAGCATGGGTGCAGCAGGAAGTTGATGTTCCACTGCCAAAATCCAGGTGTGCTGGTAAACTTAGCATGAAATTATCATTGATTCAATGAAGATGACTGCTTGGCCACAAGTTATGTGAGGCAATACAGTGATTTACAGATTCAGACTGGCAGATTCAGGGCGAGGATTTTTA